TTATCCACCTGGTTGAATGCAAAAGTGCAAGGGGAACATATAATTATGAGTAAAACAAAAACAAAAAAACTAAGTGTAGTAAAAAAAAGAAAAAGTTGAGAATCTGTACAAAAGACTACTGCTGTATTGGGCACCAAAGTCACTAAAGCGATGAGATGTGTATTTACAGAAACTCTATTGAAACTCTTTTAAAGCCCACCCCAAAAAAAAACAGTAAGACCATTAAATGTTCGGCTTTCGAAGGTCGCTACAGACAGTTTTATTTGCCATTTGGAAATTAAACAGTCCAGCCACTGAATGGCCGATAGAAACGATGCTGTCAAAACGGAGCATCTTGTACGTGTAGATTTTTAATCGATCAATTATTTAAAAAAAAATTATAAATAGCCCTAAATAAAACAATTTCTATGAATGGCTATTATCATTTTTTTTTTTTTAATGTGGGTTAACTTTTCTAGTTTGTTTAAGCAAGTCCAGACAAACCATTGAGTAAGCTAGTTGTATTATTATGTTCCGGGAAATACTGCTACTTTGTATTAATTATAGAATCACCAAACCTACCTCCTCCATAGTCATGGTGGCCCTACAACACTGCTCTAGATCTAAGCATTTAGATGAGCCTGTGGTATCCTCCCAGTCTGGGCGGGAGGATGACAGCAAAAGGGGGGCAGGTAAAGTGCAAGAGGAGGACCAAGAGGAATTGGGTGTCGTTATAAAGAAGGAAGAGAGGTCAGTGAAGCTCATGGGTGCATGATGAAAAAATGGAGAAGGCATGTGGAGGGCAATTGGGAGTTTGGCAGTGAAGAGCTCATAAGACAAGGGGAATAAAGGATAATATAACTGATAATGATCAGGGGCATCCCTAGAATTTTCAGCACCTGAGGCAGGGCAGGGAATGGCGTACATGGGACCTCTGCATCATCTCCCCACACTTTTCTGGCAGCGCCTGCCCAGTGATGTGACCGATTGCCAGGAGCTAGACGAGACGCCGGCCAGAGCATCATGCTCAGGTCCTGGCAATCGGTCATGTCACTGGTTGGTAGGATCTGGGCAGGACGCCGGCCAGAGTGCATCGCTCAGCTCCTGGCAACCAGTGATGTCCGAATGCTATTCGGGTCTGGGAGCCATAAACATATATTACTAAAGCTGAGACTCCCCAACCTAAATGGCATTAGGGAGCTTCCAAATGCAATTCGGAAATTCGGATCCTGAATGCCATTCTGGTCTAGGAGCCTCAGCTATATGTGTATATATATATATATACAGGTGAAACTCGAATAATTAGACATTCAATTTCACTTTTCAGCGAAATTCGGATTGGATCTGAAATTCGGAAATGGGTTTTCGAATTCGGAGACATTCGGATGCAGTGGGATTTGGAAAAATCGGATGTGTCTACTCTGCAGTTGATAAAATTTAGAAGTTAGAACTATGGGGGATGTATGCATGTCACAGGGACATTGTTGTGTATTTCCGTTAAATGGCGATTTATTTGAAGAGCATATCTAGCTGGTACTGTAGCTGCCCATTTAAATGCTTAGCTGTTAAGGATAAGGTCTTCTAAAGAGCAACATACTAAACAGTAGCCAGCGTTATACATGTGTTATTTCCTGGATAAAAAAAGTTGCAGAATTAATCTATATTTCCTGTTGTATGTAATTTTCCAATGGTTTCTTTGTTTTACATCGGCAGAATGCATCGTTTGTGCAACCAGCACCATGTCAGAACATAAGACTTTTTCGGAAGGTGAACAGGAGGAAAAACAATTGCATGATTTTCACAATTCAAAAAGTTAGCTTCAACAATGCGATTTGCTTTTGTTTTCTTGTAAACGTCAGTGCAAGGTAAGAAGCAAGGTAACCTGACCATCCCATGGCCAGCCTATTCATATTCTTATGTATCGGAATGTTCCAAACCAATTATATTCTTCATCAGTGCCGGGTCAAGGCTTTAGCAATCAAGGCAATGGGTGTCTTGCTGCCCCCTGGAGCAATCGCAACATTCTACATATTAAATACTTTTTTTGCATTTAGAAACAAATCATAAAAACATTATTGACACCAACCAAAGATCTTTGACCTTATTCAATAAGAAGCTTTCATTCTCAAGTAGGGTAACCCCTACCAACCAATCAGAATTGACTCTACTGGAAGTGGGCCAGTAGATGGTTATTGTGGCCTACTGCACCTTGAATAAGGCTTAGTGGGGTTGATTTCCTAAAAGCAAATAGGCTGTTACTTTGCAAGGGGGATATTCATTCAGCTTAGTGAATGAGAGGAAGCTCTTCCATCATCCAATCAAGTGAAAGTTTTTATTTTTTTAATTGTTTCTTGAAGACGATTGGGAATTCTTTGCAAAGTGAAATTTCACATGTACCTAACTAAGGGATTAAGTCCATGCTCAGTGAAAATTGACCTTGCAAAGTGAACAGCCTATCAGCCTTTAGTAAATCAAACTCAATGTACTTAAAGGGATTGTCCATCTATTCAATAATTGAATCTATTAGCTTATAAAGCTCTTCTTTTAAAATAACTTCCTGTTTTACAACTGTGTTCTCAGTGTGTTTATTTTAAGCTAAGAGGGCCAGTCCACCCAAAAATGGTATTTAAAGGATAACCAACCCATGTAGTCATCTCAACACCTCAAAAGCTCCATACCCAAGTACATTACAGTGCTGCAAAACACAGGTAATAGTTCACGTGAGACCAGGTAGAAAAGCCCCTTACCCTCACTTCATAGCTGGAGCTCCATCTGCCACTTCTCCCCCCGTTCCAGTCTACAACTGTGAGTTGCAGTGTAAGCAAAAGGTTACTTCACCATGCAGCACTGCTGGAGCCTCTAAACTGCAGTTCCCATCCTAATAAAGCTATGGGCAAATATACACCTGTACATTGTGGTGACATGGGGCACTTCAGCTGCATAGGTGCGTACACTTGCAGTTTAGGTAGAAATATGGACACCGGGGCTCCAATGGCAAATCAAATACGTCTATATATTTGATGTGCCATCTATTGATGTCACTTGTTCTGCCTGATGAAGGGGATCCTGTGAGACCCCGAAACGTCAGACTGAGTGTATTTTACTATGCTGCATGTACGTCAATAAATAGATGTATTTGATTTGCCATTGGTGCGCCGGTGTGCATGTTTCTACTTGTACATTGAGACGGTGACCATCTGCCGACAGCCGTTGCACCCACTTAACGTTTATGGAACAACGTTTTCGAGTGCCGTGGGTATATGGACTGTAGAGATGGGAAGTTGGGATCTTAGAAATGAATCGGTTCATTTTGAACAGTTTCACTTGCTGAGACGGTCTGACATAAAACCAAACTTGTGACATCTCTGAGCCAAGGCATTGATCATAGGAAAATTCCCCAGGATTCCCCAAGAAATTCTGAATCAGAGTCTTGTCGTTCGGATCTTTTATGAAGGTTCAGACAGCTCCTGAGCTTCGGTTCACTTGTCAGCCGACTCAGCAAGTGAACCGAAGAAATGATTAGTTTCAAGATCCGAACTTGCCATCTCTGTTGGGCTGCATCCCACTTGTTGTTTAGGACCTAAGTAGGACCCTGTAGCTAAGTACCTTAACTATTAAGAACAATGTATCTTATTTGTGTATCACTCGGCTGTAAATCTTCAAATCCTCTCTGAATTGGTGCTGATACTGTCCTTCCTTCTGAAGGGGGGCTACTTTTCTTCCCCATGGTCCCTGTGTGTGTTGTAAAGTAGTCACCCGTCCAAGCTTACTCCCGTGTTGGACTACAATCTCAATACAAGTTACTAAACTAAACCTGAGATTGTAGTCCATCACAGGAGCAAGCTTGGAGTGGTAACTACTTTACAGCACACACAGGAACCGTGGGGAACAAAAGTAGCCCCCCTCCAGAAGGAAGGACAGTGTCAGCACCAATTCAGAGATGATTTGAGGATCTACAGCCGAGTGATACACTAATAAGATACATTGTTGTTCATAGTTAAGATACTTGAATACATTAAGATTTAATTCCTGGGTTTAGTGTCAATATAACTTGCTAAACGACATATCAGATTACAGTTTTTGACTACAGAAACATTTTACGTTTTTGGCAAGTGTTGGGGGGTCAAGCCATCAAGCTCTCGTTAGAGCTTGGTTAATTCCCAAAGACTATAGACCTGCTGCGACCATTACAAGGGGCTCCCGCCATTCCTGCTGGATATTTTGCATAAGTTCTATATCATGGATAATGAAAAAAGAAGGGCTAAAACACACAAAGATGAGCAGGAACATCCAAAAAAACCAGGAGGGCAGTAACAGCATGAGGAATTACAGCAGGGAGATCTCGCGGTTGGAGTATTAAGGAATATATGAAGCTGGGCGATGACTCGGCCTGTCATGGACCTACTAACGTCTCAAACTTCACCCAACTAAAATATCAGTTTGCTTGAACTGGCCCTTTGTTTACACTCATATGATCTAAAAACAATATAAAGCTCAGTATTTTCTTTTTGCTTTACGTAAAGATTGTAATTGTCAGCTATGTGATTATTAATGTATATGCTGTAATGATTGTTATTTCAGCAATGAGAGATAATGATGAAAATAATGATTGTTATAGAGAATTAAGCCTTTAGTCTGGTATCTTGGGGCACTAATAAGACAAAACCCTTGCATCTGCATTCAAAAACATGCATTCTGTAAGGGGAAGGATTCAAAGGAGGAGAACATGAGAAGGTGGGTTGTGGATGAAATATGGAAGGTTGGTGGACTACAGATGTGTAACAGTTACAGGACGCAAGCCAAGAGAATAACATCAGCTGAAAGTAGACAACCCCTTTAACACAAATGGAAGGTAAGGACAGGTGCCGCCATTCTTTCTTCTGCCTTTTTTTTGTCCTTGCCCCGGCCCTGTTCTTCGTCATAGCATAAACAAATCAAGAGTAAGACCATAGTGTAGTCTTTAACAGAAGTCTTCTTTGCAGAAAGCGTTCAGGTTTGATCCTGAATATCTCGGAGCCGGTCTTTGCCATGTTACTTGTCTTTCCTGAGAATTAATCTGGTTTGAAAGTCACTTTATGCTAAAAAAGAAATCACAAGTGAGCATGTTCAGAGCTCTGATCGCTATCACGGCTGTCATCGTTGGCTAGTGAGTCAGCTGTGTGTTGGAGGCCTGCTGCTCCAATCCCGGAGAGCTCTGAAGGTAGTAGAGTTCCCTTTTTCACATTTACTAGTTCCTTCTCTCTGGCTGCTGCTCCCTGCTGTCCACCCTTCACTCTCTTCCATTTCATCCTGCGATTCTGAAACCAGACCTTTACCTGCAGAAGGAAAAACAAAACACACGTTAAGAGGGTTTGTGAGGGTTCTCATCATTAATCCAGGTCAGTAGTAGTCAGTTGGTCATATTCAAATGGACTTGTTTCTGTTGTGTTGAAGATGAAGATGTTTTGTAGGCTGTAGCCACTTTTTCAGTTCCAATGAGTTTCAGGAAGATACCACAGTATTTATAGCCACACAGGTAGCACAGACATCTTAAAGTGACACTAAACTCAGGAGTTAAACCTTAAAAACAAATTCAAGTGCCTGAACTATTATCAAAAATGTATCTTATTTGTGTATCACTCGGCTGTAGATCCTCAAATCATCTCTGAATTGGTGCTGACACTGTTCTTCCTTCTGTAGGAGTTTAACTCATGTGTCACTTGAATTCAATCACCAAGGAACGTGTAGATGGTGGACAATCAAAATCTACATCTACATGCCATGGAAATAGTTTTTTAGGTGTCTGTGATACCTGAGTGGCTATAAATACTGGGATAACTTCTTAATAGTCATTGGAACCTAAGAAGTGGCTTGGAGAGTCTACAAAACATCGGCAACATTACAGGATAAGTCCAGTTGATTGTGACCAACCACTACTAGCTACCTGTTAATATTATTTAAAATGGTGGGAAGGTTCTGGATTTTATGCATATATACAAATTGCACAAATAGAGACTCTGTCTATTTTGGACTTTTCTGTCTAATTTAGAAGAATGTTTTCTGTTTGAGCGCCAAGCGGAAATTGCAAAGTATATTGTACATGTCTCTGAAACAGACGTCTGTTTAGACCTCTAAAAGTTTAGAATTCTAAACTAATGAGCTATAAAGGTTTTTAAAGCATGGCCTGTGGACAGCTTTGGGTATCATAATTTGTCTTGACATTTTTTGCATCTTTTTTTGTATTTATAGAAAATGTTTAGATTTTAATTGTGTTTGTTTGCATTAAAATTAATTAGAAACATTCTTAATAAAAAATTGGGTTTGGTAAACATCATATAAAATACAACATAACAAATTTAAAAACAACAAAATAACATAACAATATAATTTCATTCTATTGGTCTTCTTTTAGAAAATATTAATGTTCTGGGCTTTTTAGTGCACTTTTATGTACAAAATGTAGAATTTGTGTTGAAGATAATTCTACTTATTTTCACGCCCAGTGACAAAGGTCCCCAGGACAGGATATCACAATTATTGTTGTTATCCAATCAAGGCAAGTCTTATTTGACGGGATAAGCAGTAAGGCCCAAAAATGATTAAAGGGGGAGTATTCGAACCCCTTAAACACGTTGGCTTTTGGGAGTTCTAATAAGTGACCATCTTGTACTCTTTGACCTATGGGTGTGGATCTCTCCTGACTGCATATATAATTGGACTTTGCTCAGAGCCCCCCTCCCCTTGGGTCTTTTGGTACATGAAAGCAGCCTTATCAAAGCAAGTCAGCTTGATTAATGAGACTGCAATTCTGGGCAAGGAACAGCTTTTCATATAATTAATGGTTCTGTGTGGATCCCACATTAAAGTTGAAGAAAGGTGGGAGAGAATGAGAGGTGCCAACGAAGCCAGCGCTAGAGGAAGCGAGGCGGCAGCGGAGGGAGCAAAGGCGCATAAGCCGATGCTTCCTCTATAGCGCCAGTTCCTGTCACTGGCGGAGTGATACCAAATGCACTCCGCCTGATCTCTCTGGCTTGCTGTGTGTATGTCTGTCTATCTATGAATATTTTCCTGGTCCCTATGGCAGCACAACAAACAACATTGTGCAAAATAAAACTACCAAGTGAAATGCAGTTGTGCGTATGTAACAACTGTTGTAACACAAGTCTACATTAAGTCTTGCCACAGGTTAAAGGCCACTTAGCTCTGACCTCCTCTCCGTGGCCCTGAGTGTCATCCTGTTACATTTTGTTCCCACTACAGGGGACTGTAGCAACAGCAAAGCCGAAGTCACACACAACAAGCTACGCTCGCTGCTGCTTTTCATGTACGGTGCCTGTTACACTAACTGGTCTCCAGAGCCGCAGAATGGCTCCCTGGACGTCAACGCGGGGACGGATTCTGTTACAGGGTTTCACTTTAACTCTACAACTGATCAGGAAACTCTCCTGTCCCTTCGAGACAGCATGTACTTGGAAAAGCAAGAGTGACTTGGGTAGAAAACACTGGACAAAAAACTGGGAAAACACTTGGGTGGAAAACACTGGACAAATTATGTATATATATGGTTGCAAACACAAACGTTTTATTCAAAAGCATTCAGTATACTTTACAGTATAGAGGCACTCTGTGTAGAATCATATAATACGGGTCAGGCATCTGGTGTCTGCTAACAAGCAGGCCCAGCGTGAGGAAAAAACATGGAGTTTACAATTAGTTTTGGCAAATAAGAATTCAAAATGCGTATGTGTGTTTAGTATTTGTATCACCGTCTGTAAGGAAGGGGACTCAGGCTGTTTCCACGCTCTTGCAATTGCTAGGCGTGCTGCTATGAGGACATGAGACACAACAGTTCTGGATATTGGTGGCAATTCATCCAAACCTACCCCCAGCAAAGCAAAATCTGCTCCACATTTTGTCTGCTCCAGTTTTGATAAATTCCCCCCATTGCTGTTCATAGTTAAGGTACTTGAATGTATTTTTAAGGTATAACTCCCGTTTATTGTCACTTCAACTGTCTTCCAAAACAGTTACTGTTCAGGTATTTCAACTGTCAAGGTTGCCATTGTGCTTATTTCTGCTCTCAACAGAACTATCAAGTCCCCAAATGGCTGGTGTCCTAACTGACCACATGTGCAACAAGATGGCACCTCCCTTCACTGTAAAGAATAGGAGGGTGTAGTCACACTTTTTCGTTCAGTGGGATATCCTCCTGGTTTTGGGTGCACACAATATCCTATAAGGAGACACACATGCTGCTTCAGCATATATAGACAGTATGTATAGATAGATATATATCTATACACAGTATACATATACACATAATATATATATGTCGTTTGCTTCTGACCTGATGAAGAGAGGTTCACTCTCGAAAGCTTGTCTTTTATATATTTTGTTAGTCCAATAAAAAAGGTATCATTGCACACTGCAATACTGCATTTATATA